CACAGAAGAAAGGCTGGCCACGCAATCAGTCTTTCAGATTGGCACACAACATTCCCTCCTGCATTTTCTCAACATCTAGTAGCATACGTGCCCACACATCTCACGCTCATTCAGCCCCCTCCCCCCACCCCCACCTCGCGGGGTGCATGAGCACACATCTGCGCACGTGCACACCTCTGTGCTGTAGACCCCGAGGCCAGCGTGTGGAAGTAATCCCCTGGCACAACTATGTGATCATTTTCGTTTTCTTCCGCTGATCCAGCCCTGAGGTCTAGACAGGAAAAGGCATGCAGGGCAGGAAGGAGGGCTCCGTGTGCGGGAGACAGAGAAGCAGGGAGAGCCAGCTTTTAAGGGAGAAAGGCAGCCCTGTCTGTCTGAATCACTTGGCTCCGAGGAGCCAAGCACAAGTTTAATTAAGTGGCAGGAAAAGTCTTGCTTGGAGCCACCCTGGGAGGAAGTGATGCTGTCAGACTCTGCTCAACCAATCCCTGTCTGGCTCGGGCACAGACTTCCCCTCATCCAGCAGGGGTGGAGCCAAGAAGATGCCAGTTCTGAAGCCCCTCAGACTGCTCTGGTCCATGACCTCAGTCTTAGAGGGTGACTTTCTTCTCCATGGAGAGTCTCAAGAGTTTCTGTGACAGGACTTACAGCAGGAGTAGTATTTCCCTAAGGAGCTCTGCTGATGGCAATGTAGTGGTTAAGGCACTTGGCTGCTAACCAGCTACTCTGTGGAAGAAAGATGAGGCAGTCTGCTTCCATAGGGATTTACAGCCTTGAAAACCCAGTGGGGGTCACTATGAGTCAGAATTGACTGGATAGCAGTGAATTTTGGTTTGGGAAATGTCTCCCTAAGAGCCATGGTGGCACAGTGGTTAAAACAATAGCTACTAACTGAAAGGTGGGCAGTTGGAACCCACCAGTTTCTGTGCTATAGAAAGACGTGGTGATCTGTCTCCAAAAAGATTTACAGTCTTGGAAACCCTGTAGGATAGTTCTGTTCTGTCCTGTAGCATCTCCGTAAGTCTGAATCCATGGGACAGAGTGAGTTTTTGTTGCTGTTGT